TCTAATTTGATTGTTTAGAGCCTAGGTTCTATACAAACTGCACCCATATTTTAAAGGAAATGTATACAAAGAGGTCATTTATTTTTAGGGTGCAGTTTGTATAGAACCTAGGCTCTAAACAATCAAATTAGAGCTTACCTTCAAATAGTATCGAGAAATGTTGTTTCAATACTGGAAATATTTGTGATAGCCTTAAAATATATTTGCATATTTATTTATAAAATTTTAAGCTTAAAAAATAGTGTACAAAATCTTGAAAATTGACAGTCCAAAAATACATTGCAAAATACACTATTTCTAAAACTTGAAATCTATTATTTTCTCATGTTCATGCATCTTGATGTCGAGATGATCACTTTGAAGATATTTGGGCATCAAAACAATCTCTTCTAAAGAAATTTTGAGATGGGCTCAAGTTTTATTGTTTAGAGCCTTGACTCCATATAAACTTTCCCTTCTTTTTATGAAGTCACAATTACTCTTGTCCGTCATATTTTAAATAGGGTAGTTGTAAGTGTGTTATTGACTAGATTCAAAGAGTAGGAAAAAAATCGAACTTCATTGCACATTCCAAGCCATCCGATTTGAAATCTAATGGCTATGAGTAATTGTGACTTACTTGTAACAATGGTAAATAGTCTCATAGTATATAAACCCTATTTTAAATATATTAATATATTTTTATGAGATTGTCTATAAAGAGATCATTTATCTCTAGTACGTGGAGGTCACTATTATTATCAATCATTAAATGTCAAATTGGATAGCTTGAAGTGAGTCACCAAACACAAAACTTTTCTTTTTTTGGACTTTGTGCCTAATTCATTCTTTGATTTCATTGGAGACCCACAAAAATCATAAAAAAAGTCGCCCAAGTATAAAGATTCTAGCTAACAATGCCCCCATTTAAGAGTACAAAGATTTTAGAGAATAATTCCTCATTTTAATATGAGAAACCAAGAGAGAGAAATATAATGCTTCTTTTGGAAAGATAATAAGGCCTTATTTAAGAACAAATCTAGACAAATCTAAAGAGAGAGAGAGAGAGTTTCAAGGAACCACTTTGGAAAGAAAGAGAGCTTGTGGAATTTGTTCCCTTTCAAACCAAAAAACCAGACCTAAAAAACAATGGGCACCTTGAATCAAATCTAGAGAGAATATCAAGTGAAAATTTAATGAATGTACCAAAGAGAAAGATCATGGATAAGAGGGGACTTCAAATAAGGCAGATGATAAGGGCATGCAGCGTGCGTATGCGAACATTAAACCTGTTCACCATTTCAAAAGGAACCCATGGTTTCCTCTCCCCTATAAATTCTCATCCTCATCGTCACATAGAGAGATAGAGAAAGCACATTAAAGAGAGAGAGAGAGAGAGAGAACCAGCTTAAGCATTTTGGAGAGAGAAAGAGACCCAGCGTAATATGGCAGCAGCCACAGTGAAGCTTTTGTCCACTCTCCTGCTCCTGTGCATCATCGGAAAAGGTCTTTCTTTTCTACTTCTTTTCTTTTTCTTTTTTTCTTTTTTCTTTTTCTTTTTATCGACAAGGTTTGTATAAGGTTTGCCTCACATGTTTAATGGGTCGTTTCTCCAAAATTTATTTCAAATGTGGATTTTAGATTTAAAATTTCAAAGATTGATAATCTAAACCATGAGTAGTATAAATCTATAAAAGAGATCATTTTAAAAGAAATGAGATTTTTTAATATAAGTTTTAACATCCTTAGTTTTGAATCTTGGCCAGGCTCTTGTCCCCATGGGGCCGACCTAGGCCGGGACCGGCCCTACAAGGTCAAGGCGAGGCTCAAAACAAATGAAAAAAAAAAAAAAGAGGGCCGGGATAAACTGGCCCTAGCCCAACTCCTTGTGCCACAGGTTTGTGGCCCAAGCCCTACTTTTCTAGGGTGAGCTGATTGCGCCGGGTCGGGCCCATAACCAGCTGTTTCTAAATAGGCAATTACCCCATAATAACTATATCACTAGTGAAAATGGGATTGGGGTTGTGGTGGAAGCACTACTTGTGCTCCAGGTCTAGGCTTCCATTGCCACCTAACGCCTACAAAAACCACTAACGACTTAAAAAACTGGTAAAGACTCGTCATCCCCTTATCACTTAATTACCAAAAAAAAAAAAACTATACCACTAAATGAGCAAGACTAATACTATTAGAGATAGAAACCCTAATTTATCATTCTTTGTTTTTACATTTCCCTCAGGATATGCAGCCGCTGTGTGTCCACTTACAGTAGAACTGGAAATCGCCAAGGTCGGCGCAACAGATGAATACGCCATTACCTTTACAAACGTATGCATTTGCCCCCTAAACAATGTGGTGCTGGGCTGCCCTCCATTTGATGCTGCTCATATCCCTAATCCATCCATTATTCGCCATGTGACTGACACCACTTGCATTCTTAAAGATGGCCAAGAATTTAAACTTCACGAGAGTGTACAATTCTTATATACAGGGCCCAACCCAGACAAGTTCTATACGCACGATTACAAGTGGTCGTGCACTTAAGGACCCATATCAACCCCTTTTTTATTCAAATAACATTTCAACCCTCTTTTCCTTTTTTATCTAAATAATGAGCGTTTTATCTTAGTGTGTTTTTCTTACATGGGCCAAGTTATATGGTCCTCGAGTGCTTGAATGCCCTATCTTTTATTGTTATTTTTTTTGTTAGAATCAAGAGAATCTATGTGTCCATTAATGTATGAACATACAAACTTGTTTTATATAGACCAATGACACATGATAAGAACATAAAGAAAATCATCGACACTCATATTGCGTTTACACTTACTATAAAATACAGGATATTGCACTTACCTTTTTTATATACATATTGATCAGAATATACAACTTCTATACGAACCCTACGGAACTAATACACTTTCAATCAATGGTTTAAAAAACGGATCGGTGACTCGGATCGGGCTTCCAAAAAACCGATCCGGATCGGCAAATCGGCGATCCGGATCGGGAATCGGGTGAATCGGTCAGAATAAAGCTTAAAAAAAATTCGAAAAAATTATTAAAATTCATTATAAGTATTGTTTTTTAGGAATTCAATAAAAAATGAGGGTACTCCATTAAGAATTTTCATGTTTTTGAATGAATATGCGAATATTGATATGTTTTTTCCCTGCATGAACCGCCATTCAGCATTTAATTTACAGTATTTCGTGCTCATCCCTACACTGTTGCTGTTGGGACTCGATATGTGAATAATATGGCTGGGATAGGGTGGCTTCAGAATCATCATATCTCTCATTTTCTCTTTGAATAATATGGATTAAAAAAAAAATAACAAATTTTCAAAAAAATCGATCATGGATTAAAAAAAAAAT